TGTCTTCCCAGTGATGTTCTCTGCGAGCTTTGCAAAAGATCACTGGTGGAAACCTGTCTTATTGGACATTCGCACCTCGGCACGCGCCTGATTGCTTGGTTCATTGTTGGTGCATGTATTGCTCATGGACGCACATTTCCTGCTTTGATATCTCAGGTCACTAGATGAATGGTGGAAGCAAGAACGGGACCAGGTTTACATACGGGAGATCTCCCGGAACAATCCCAACTACCAGGACATGCTTCCATTACGCTTTCATGAGGATGGTGTACCAACAACTAAGAGCGAAACATGCAACTTCTGGTCTTGGACCACGCCTTTGGCTAGCCGCGGAAGCGAGATCTCTCGCTTCTGTCCCTCGGAAATTTTCGATTAGCAATATTCTTTTAGTTGGACAACAGAGCTAGCTGACCATATACATATATATATATATATATATATGTATATGATGGAAAACAACAATTAAAGGCATTGTTGGTGTCACGAACAGTCGTGTCGCGCCCGAAACGAGACGCTGCATCGCTGACATCATCGCTTGGGATCTTCGAGCACTGGAACGTGGCGTTTTTCCATCCTGCGACCACAACGACGTTCCGTGGCCAGCTGGCTCAGCGCGAGCCCAAAAGATTGGCCAAAACATTGGGATCAGAGCATGCTTCTCATATTGGGCTGGAGATATGGAAGCTCATGCAAAATCACACAATCTTCAGAGGCACTATAACAAGCCTTCGATATGCGATTGGTGTTGGGCATCGAGCAGGGACAAACAGCTGACTTTCACAGACTTTTCTTCGTCAGCTCTGTGGCGCTCTACATGCAGCTACCATGAGCCGCTGCCACACCAAGAAGAACGATCTGTTTGGTGCTCAGTCAAGGGCTTCACCAAGCGCCGCCGCCTGTTTGACAGCCTCTAGGTCGCATTAACAGCATTCCTGGATGGCTTTTTTATGGCTTTTGGTTATGTAGTGCTCGAATACTGTAAGATGCACTGCTCAACCAAGTTATGCACCTCGCCCATCTGGGTTACATCCGGGACCTTGTGGCTTCCATTCTGGTTGAGACCGTGAGATCGGGCGAGATGGCAGCTTTCTTGCGATTCGATGGCAGCCCAGATCAGCTTCTTCACAGGTGGACTGCGGAAGCCCAAAGTTTTTGCAAGGATCGTGGCCTGGATTGCTCGATGAAGCCGCTGACGTGGGAAACTTTACATGCCAACAAGAAGGCTATCTACCCTGAGCTCACAAGCCGTATAAAAGCAAGTCGGACCAGACACTTGCTGGCGTTTACCGCTTATTACTGCTGTCAACTGGAAATACTGGTGTCTGATGACGCACCCTCAGACACGGTGCATTGGTCGAGGTGCAGGGCAACGATGGTATGGTGCTTGGATGCAGCGTTGAGTGTTGGGGGAACTGGCAGTAAACCCTTTCTCAAGCCAGAGGAGATTATCGAAGCACAATGGTGTTTCGATACGTTCCTTCTGAGCTATGCTCACGCTGCTGCACGATTCCATCGAAAAGGCCTCTGCTTGTACAAACTTCGGCCGAAGATGCATTACACGCAGCATTTGGTGGATGAGCTGCCCTGCCACAAGCTCAACTTTTACCATGCTGCGATTTTTTTGGACGAGGATCATATGAAGTTCCTCAAGATTGTTTCGGCCGGCTGCCACGTGACTTCTCAGCCTCGCACCTGGGCAAGACGTTACCTGACGAAACAAGTGTTTCTCTGGCGACGCTTGCCCGGGGCGACGGCGAAGAAGAAGCGCCGCGTCGCCGAAAAAAAAGAGGACGCCGCAGGTCTCTTAAGGGTTTCAGGGTTTAGGGTTTCCAAAGTTGGGGCTTCAGGTTTGGGGGTTGAGGGTTTAGATTTCGGCTTAAGGAAGAACTTGCCACACTGCAACCAAACAACATTCCATAGTCCCGAAGCTTGCAAGTTTAGGTTCCAAATTTGAAACCGCAAGGGCCAAGGCCTCCCCAAAAAAAGGGAGGATGCATTCACATATACACCCCTTAATACCGATATTCCCGAAACCTCTCTTGTTCCCAATCTAGTGCATGGCCTCGGGTGGAGTTGCTCCCCCTTGGCCATCGGGTGGAGGTGCTCCCCCTCGCAACATCCGCCTTGATCCTAAACCCTGGCCAAAGCTTGCACAAACTCCAAATCAAAAGCCTGCAAACAAAAACTGGGTTCCACGCCTGAACTGTTCAAACCCATAACAAAGAATCCTGCATAATGCTGTCAAAAGCACCGAAAGCCAAACCGTGTTTGCAGAGGCTGAAGCCCCGAAAGCCAAGCAGTGTTTGCAGAAGCTGAAGCCCCGAAAGCCAAGCAGTGTTTGCAGAAGCTGAAGCACCGAAAGCCAAGCTGTGTTTGCAGTCGCAGTGGCAGTTGTAGAATCTCGAGGAAGGCTGGTTGTGCTTGGGACTGATTGCTTGAAGGCTCGCACCTGTTGGTCGGTTGTGTGCTTGGCTCTGAAGGCTTGCACCTGTTGGTCGGTTGTGTGCCTGGCTTGATGCATGTGTTGGATGGTGGTTGTGTGCCTGGCTTGATGCATGTGTTGGATGGTGGTTGTGTGCCTGGCTTGATGCATGTGCTGGAGTGTTGGTCGGTCGGTTGTTTGGTTGCGACTGATTGCTTGAAGTGCCGCCCACCGTGAGTTGTAATGGCTGTTGGCGCCTCGCCACGCCGTACGTGTACATGTTTGATTGTGACAGCTAGTCAACAAAGACTCCTGCATAATATGCTGTCAAGAGCACCAAAAGCCAAACCGTGTTTGCAGAAGCTGAAGCCCCGAAAGCCAAGCAGTGTTTGCAGAAGCTGAAGCCCCGAAAGCCAAGCAGTGTTTGCAGAAGCTGAAACACCGAAAGCCCAAGCAGTGTTTGCAGAAGCTGAAGCCCCGAAAGCCCAAACCGAGTTTGCAGAAGCTGAAGCCCCGAAAGCCAAGCAGTGTTTGCAGAAGCTGAAGCCCCGAAAGCCAAGCAGTGTTTGCAGAAGCTGAAGCACCGAAAGCCCAAGCAGTGTTTGCAGAAGCTGAAGCCCCGAAAGCCCAAGCAGTGTTTGCAGAAGCTGAAGCCCCGAAAGCCCAAGCAGTGTTTGCAGAAGCTGAAGCACCGAAAGCCCAAGCAGTGTTTGCAGAAGCTGTAGTAGTAGTAGTAGTAGTAGTAGTAGTAGTAGTAGTAGTAGCAGTAGTAGTAGTAGTAGTAGTAGTAGTAGTAGTAGTAGTAGTAGTAGTAGTAGTAGTAGTAGGTGAAGGTTTGGCTGCTTTGCGCCACCCGTCCGGAGGCAGAGAACGGCCGTTGGCACCTCGCCACGCCACACAAATTCATTAACACCATGTTCGTACGGCCGTTGGCGCCTCGCCACGCCACACAAATTCATTAACACCATGTTCGTACGGCCGTTGGCACCTCGCCACGCCACACAAATTCATTAACACCATGTTCGTACGGCCGTTGGCACCTCGCCACGCCACACAAATTCATTAACACCATGTTCGTACGGCCGTTGGCACCTTCACTAACCGCTGGCATCCCGAACCTTTGGATATATAACCGCTAGGATGTGAATTAACCGCTGGGACAATTAACCGCTGGGATTAACCGCTGGGACAATTAACCGCTGGGATTAACCGCTGGGACAATTAACCGCTGGAATTAACCGCTGGGATTAACCGCTGGGACAATTAACCGCTGGGATAATCAAATAACCGCTGGGATGTTGAAATAACCGCTGGGATGTTGAATTAACCGCTGGGACATCAAAAAACCGCTGGGATGTTCGATTAACCGCTGGGAGCCCGGGATGGCCTACATCGGTTTGTGTTTAGGTCACGTCGGTTATTAACCGATGGGGGGCTGTCCAGGACTTCGATCGGGACACATTCTTGTAAGCGGACCACATTGAGCTGGTGCAGCAAATGGGGGATCCCTAGGGATGTCAGGTGCATTTTGGGATACCATGTTTCTCCTCGTGCTGGCATTGGAACGGAGTTGCTTTACGAGTCCGACTCCCAAGCGGCCCCACTCAGGTCCCTTGACACCGTGCTTGGTAAGATTCGCCAGCGATCCTTCAGGCCGGACGCTCCAAGAGGAGAGCAGTTTCAGGGCGCCGATGCTGCTGCCGCGCCGGCAGCAGCCCTTGAAGATGAGTGCGGAGTAGGAGACATGGTGTCAAGCTCAGAGGACAGTGCCGATGAGGAACACCCAGATCGAGAGCTCGACGAGGCTGCCGAAGCTGAGGCCCTGGGACATTGGCATGGCAGAGTCGACTTGGCGAAGCTTGGTGAGTCTCCTCAATTTTATAGACATGCTTTATCTAGGGTCTTGCACTTGCTCGCAGAGGAAGGTGGAACTACCTTCAAGTGTGGGCTCACCATCACGGCTGCATATGAGAACTTGGATGACATGCCAAGAGTTTTGTATCCTCGGTGCAAGCAATGTTTCCGTTCTATGCCATTCTATGCTGCAGGCCTAAGTACTTTTGCAAGACATGACCGCGGAGCGGCAGGCGGCCTTTTTGAGCATAGATTATCCCTGCGAGATGCACTCCAGAGAAAGCGCGCCGTGCAAGAGCGTCCGCTAGCCCTGCAAGTCCAAGCTTGAGTGGAGTCGTGTCCTGCAAGTTGCGGTGAGTCCAATCATCGCGTTGAATACAAACAATGTAAGCAAGCTTGCTGAGCTCGTCGCCCGCGTCGAGTCACACCTCAAGCGAGGGCCGGAGTACTCCTGAGTTGGAGCTCTTACACCCCAGGCTCGGGGGACGATGCTGAATTGATTCGTGCCTTGAAGGATGCCCTGGGGGACGAGCCGGATCTAGGGCAGAAGTCTGCATTCAGAAGGCTTTTCCACGAGGCCTTCTCAGTCACGACGGCTGAGATGAAGGCGATAAAAGGGCAGAGCGGCACAACAAGATCGCAAAGCGGTTGCCAGGGTTGGACATTCGAAACCGGTTGGAGCCGTCAGACAGCTTAGTAGACGCCTTTGTGGCTCTCTACGAGCAGAATCGCCTGCATTTCATTGAGTGGGATCGTCTCACGTCGAAAGAGCAGGAGGTCACCAGCAGCTCAAAAAAGGAGACGGTCTTGTCAGTAGACTCTTCAGGCAGACTGAAGACAGAAAAGGGTGAAGCTGCAAAGGCGGAGACGACCACCGAGTTGCTGCTCCAGTTCGCCCTTACTCGAAGAGGAATTGCAATGGAAATGGGAAACTTGCTTGACTACAGTCTTCATGCAAAGTGGGTGGAGCGTTTGTTGTGTGCTCGCTTGGACCAGGTGCCTCAGACGCACGTCCAAACTACATTCAATCAGCTTCAGATTCAGCTTGCAGACAGGGAACTATTTCAGCTCTTAGCTGAAAGAACGCGCTCCGGCATTCAGGCCACTCCCAGTGGTCGTCCACTGGACATCGTATTCGAAGACACATGGATGGCCCCAGAGGTGCTGCATATCTTGCAGCCGATGCCCAGGCCTTCTGGGCATGCGCCACAGATCAAGGACACCAGGCCAGGTCCTTACACACCTACTGGTGTGAATACCGATCACTGGGTGCCCACGCGCAAGGGCAAGGGAAAAGGAAAGAACAAGTTTCGAGCTTCGTCGAGACTCCCCGCTGGCCTGGAAGGTTGTCGCTCGCATACCAATGCCGGCGAAAGCATCTGTTATGGCTTCAACCTGAAAACGTGCCAGGAGGTCGTGACCAGGGGGAGGTGCAGCAAAGGCTTGCGCATATGCGCCTGGCCCAAGTGTGGCAAGAGCCATGCAGCGGTTGATTGCCCCGAGAGGGCAAAAGCTGCAAAGCAGTCGTGACTAGTCACGGCTTGCAAGCGAGGTGCCAGCGATCCTTGTCGTGCCTCCGAGGCCCGACAAGAGGGCACAGAATTCGCCTCTAAGGCGTTATCGACTGCCTCAGAGGCAGTCCCAGAAGCTGCCCACAAACGTGTGCGAGCTTCTCTTGATTCATCGTGTGAGATTTCGAGTGCGAGCTTAGTTCAGGACATTAGTTTTTCGCATGCCCAGCGGAGTGCTTGTTCATGCCCCAACAGCGAGTTTTTGGATTGAGTTCGAGCAACTGAGAAGTGGATTGATGACGAAACATGCTGAGCCACAGGTTGGCTCGCCTGAGGCCTTTGCCGCTGCGATCCTCGCTAAAGGATTGCCCTCTAAGGACGACGTGCTCGCTTTGGCACGCAAGCTGCCTATGAGCCCCTCTCTCAGAGATGAAGCTGCCAAGTCTTTTAGCACGGGTGCATGCGTGCATGCGTGCATGGCGGAGCCGTGAACATACGCAAGACGTGCGGCCTGCATCCTTTTGTGACTCTTGCTCTTACCGCCTTCGTGCGTGCGAAGGCCCCCGAGTGTACTTTCAGCACCGTCACTGTGCTCTTCGAGGATAGAGATCTGCAAAACCACTCTTGCGAGAATTACGTTTTCCCTTTGAGCACCTTCTCAGGGGGTGAGTTGTGGGTTGAGGGGCATGGCGACGACAGGCAGGTACTAGACGGCAAAGAAGTAATCGGTGGCCCGCTGGAGTGGGTTGGCGACTGTGTCAAGTTCCGTCCAGACAAGCTGACGCACTTCGTTCTGCCGTGGAAGGGTTCCAGGGTTGTCTTGGTTGCCTTCTGCATTATTTCACTGAGCTTGACGGCGATAAGCTTGCAACCCTGACGTCTTTGGGGTTTAGGCTCCCAAGCCCTTCCGATTTGTGCCCGCCGTAGCGGCGCATCCTCGTGCGAGTGCCGAGCCATCTGCCAATCATGTCCCTCCTTCGCCTTCGCTTGTCGGCTTGGCTGAGGAGCCCGGAAAGGCGCGACTTTTCGAGAAACCTTTGTTCATCGAGGTATGCGCGGCTCAGCCCTCCTTTCAAGTGTCGCTCGAGAGGCAGGGTTCGACATTCTGCCCATTGATGCAGGTCACAAGGTTCCCCGGGCGTATGCACATGTGCTGCGCCTTGACTTGCGAGAATCGCTCACGCTTCAGTTTCTAGAGAACGTGCTACGGAATCGAGCTGTCGCTTGGATGCACTTCTCCCTGCCAACTGGCACGACTGGTCGTGTCTTTCGAAGCTTCGCCTCTCCCAGAGGTCTGCCCAACTTGCAGGAGCCCGGAGCCTCACGCGTGCTGGCGGCTAACGCTATCTTCGACAACGTTGCAACTTTGCTTCAGAAGGTCCTTGCATCCTTTCCTTCGGTTGGTGTCTCTGTCAAGCATCCCATCGGATCTGCCGTTTGGGAGCTACCAGCCTTTGCTCAGCTTCGACGTTCTTTGCCACAAGTCACCGTGACTGCATGCTTCTTCGGTGCTTCTACAATCGCAAGACCCTCCTCGTGACCAACCGGGATGTTTTTTCAGTCCATGGGCGGCCCCTTCCCCGGTTGTGTAAGCCATGGCAAGCCTCCAGGCTCAGGTTTTCGGTTGGATGGCAGCTACCCCAAAGCCTTTTGTGAGGCCTTTGTTGGCCACGTTGCAGCTCACTCTGCCTCGCGCGGCTTCTTCTTGTAACAGAATGTTCAATTTTCCCTCATGCCCAATTTACCGCAAGTTTCACTGCGTATCTCCGTAGGTCAAACGTAGGCTCAAGACAGCCTGACAGCAGAGCGTGTAGTGAGAAAAGAATCTGAAGCTCGCGCCGTGCTGTAACAAGGATACTGGTTTAAGGCTAAGGGTTTAAACTTTCATGGTAGCGGAGCTGTTGGCAAAGGCCAGCAGCTGATCAAGCAAAGATCCAGGGAAGCCAGCCACGAGCTGGAAAAGGTGAAAAGTGTGGAACAGGAAGTTACGGTTTACCAAGAGCATCCTGTCGGAGAACAGCGAGGAGTTACGGCTAAGCCAAGAGCACCTTGCGAAGTCGGAGAAAAGCGTGGAAGTGAAGACCTTGGGCCAGATATATAAGGACCTGCCAAAGTGTTGGAAAGATGCAAGAGCAACAACAAGCTCAACAGCCACAGCGCCAGCCGAACCCCCAGCAGGTGAGGTTGGAACAGCTGATGACTACACTAGGTCAAGCTACAGAAGCTATGGCAAGAGTTGCGCAAGGAACAGCAATGCAGCAAGCGCAATTGACAACAGCAATGGATGCACTGGCGAAAGCCCAAGCATCACCGAAGGCAGCCCCTACGGGAGGCCAGCCAGCCTCAGTAAGTTTTGATACTGGAGGTAAGATCCTCAAGCCACCGGAATCATTTAATCCAGCAACGATTGAAGAAGAAGTGTCACAATGGAGTGACTGGTCATTTACGTTCAAGAACTTCTTAGCGTTCATGGACCAAGAATTCCTAAAGGACCTGAAGTCGGCAGAAGAACAAGGAGCCGCGATAACAATGGAGGTGACAAATACATTCTTCAACAATGAACAAGGAAGGGTGAACAGAGGAACAAAGCTTTACTCAGTGTTAAGCAGTTACTTGAGAAACAGACCTCTGAAAGTGCTAAGAAGCGTGAGCGGGATGAATGGATTTGAAGTGTGGAGAAAGTTGACGGCTGAATTAGAGCCGACATCTCGTTCAAGGAGTCTAGCAATGGCTCAGGCATTGGTTGGATTCCCAGCCATGAGCAAAGGAGCATCGTTGATGGACTATGTCCTGACTTACGAGAAGCTCACAGCAGAGTACGAAAAGCTCTCAGGCCAGAAGTATGATGAAAACTTGAAGATTGGTACACTGCTGAAAGGAATACCGCAGCACCACAAGCAGCATGTGATGGTTGATATCACTGATAAGACCACGTACGAAGAGTTAAGAGCAAAGCTGCTACAATATGAAAGAAGCAATCAGACATGGTCAGCTGGAAACATCTTAGGATCGTTAAGTGTTCCAGACCCAACGTCACACTCAAGCAACAAGACTTACCAAGGACCAATTCCGATGGAACTCGATAGATTGCACATGAGGAAAGGTAAAGGAGATGGAAAAGGAAAAGGTGACAAAGGAGGAAAAGGAAACCCTTATGGAAAAGGAAAGGACAAAGGAAAGGGCAGAGGATACGGAAAAGGAAAAGGTGGTAGAGGAAGATCAAAAGGAAAAGGAATGGCTCAAGTTTTCGGCTCGAGTGCCACTTTTGTGGCGTAGTGAGTGCTGTGTGAACGGGTTTGGGGCTTTCAACCGGCTGTGCGACCAGGTTCGAGGCCCTCATAATCCCAGCTTTAGCCTCCTTTTGAGCCATAGTGCCCTGGCTTGGGAGTGGCTTCCACCCCTTGCTTTTCGTGAGGCCGCAGCGGATAGGGTCTTCCCTCCGCCTTGACCGGCCAAGAAGGCAGCAAGGAAGTGAGCAATCACTCCTCAGCCATGGGCCAGAAGCGCCAGTACCTCGTGTGCAAGTGCGGGGCGTGGACGTGGGCAGACAAGGTGCACAGTAGCCCTTACTGCCAGTGTGGCAAGAAGTGGCCGGCACCTGCTCTTAAGCAGAACGGCAGCCCGCGGCCACCGAAGACCCCCTCTCCTTCTCCTCAGCGCGGCGCCGACAAGAAGGAAAGGCGCGAGGAGGAACGCCGCTTGAAGCGCGCCGTCACAACAATCTGGGATCAAATCCCGGAGGATGCGCGTGCGCGCCTCACACAAGCGGGATGGAAAGGACCTCCCAAGCAGAAGGAGGCGGTCGAGTCCCAGACCGACCCTCTCCTGAGCCTGTTGGTACAGCGCCAGGATGAGCTGCCGGAGGACATCCGCACTGCGCTGGTGGAGGCAACCACGGGCCCGGAGCCGTCCCCAGGAGAAAAGGCCATGCAATCCAACAAGGACCTTACCAAGGCCAGCTCCCGCCTCCGCGTGCTGATCCACAAGAAGATCAAGCTACTGGAGAGCATAGAGGAGGCGAAGGAATAAGATCCACGAGGCAGAGAATGCGGTGGAAAAGGCCAAGCTCGAGCTCACAAAGGCTGTGGGCACCCCTACCGGGGTACAGGACGTGCCTGTCACTCCCAATGGATGTGGACGAACTGGTCACCATCCTGGGCTTGACCCTCTCTGACGAGCAGCAGGAGAAGTGGTGCCCGATGTGGGTGCGCCTCCGGGGCTGCCTGCCTTCCACCTTGGCTTGCAAGGCACGCAGCCAACGACCCAGCAGGGTAAGGGGGCTGACGGGACAGGCGGCCGCCAGCAAAGCCGCACTCCCCCGAAGAACGGGGAGACCATGGCCGGCGAGGAGGAGAACACCAAGCAGGTCACAGAGTAGGGAGTGAGCCTCCATGGAAGTGGTTTTCCCACTCCAGCACCCGCCGAAGAGGGAGGCCAAAACACCCCTCATGATTTTGTCCTTCCGGCACGTCGTAGCCGTCAGTTTTGCAAACGACAACAGGGAGCCCCGCCCTCAGTGGATAGCTGTGTCAGTGGCCCCAAGTTCTTTCTTTCATCGTTTTGCGTGGCTGCGCCACAGCAGTTTTTAACCAACTCGGAGGTGTGTTCACCCTCCCAGGCCTCAGAGCCTGACAAGGGGATCGTGGACACCACTCCCCGGACAGGTTTTCGGCCAAACCGGCTTCCCGGATGCAGGCGCGGACCACAGCACTTCGGCAACCGCCGCAGCCGTCACGCTCACCAGGCACGCAGGATCCGCAGGTCCAACGCCATTTTCTGGGCAGCATGGCAGCCCCCGGAGGGCAACAACCTGCCCAAGGCCCAGGTGCACTCGGAGTCCCTGAGCCCAGCTACATATGTTTTGCGCCTGCAGGACGTGGTCCCCACTCCTGGTTCTCAAGCAACCTCAGCCCCCAGCCTAGGCCAAGGTGGCCGCATCCGGCCACAACAGGCCACGGGGCAGCACAGAAGGGCCCTGGCTTCAGACAGGCCCAGAGGATGGGACCAGGGCTCTAGGGCACGAGGCGTCGTGCCTCAAACCTTGCCCGTTGTGCAACGGTCCCTGTCTGGAAATCAGCGACTACCTCACGGGCTGCTTGCACTGCTCAGGAGTGGCCCTTAGGCCCAAGGAACCTCACCCCTCGACCCTCTGTCCGACGGGGAGCGTTTCTCATGTCCCAGCGGACACTCCCTCACGGGCGAGGGAGGGATTTCAGCCACCGAGAGCTCCGAGCAGCACCCGATACAGCCGCACACGGGGCGTTTCTCCCCGGAGGACCTGAGGTCTCAACGGGCCCTCGCTCTCAATCCCTCACCAAGGCTACTAGGGGAGGAGATCGAAAACGTCGCCCTGCAGCTTCTGCAAGGCCCTCTCCGATGCAGCCCATTGCAGAGCGGCTCGCCCTCGCCTGCAGTGCGGCGGAGAACGTCGAGGATGCCGAAGAGGCTATCGTGGCCTTCGGCGAAGCTGTTGAGATGGAACCGGAAGGCAGCCTCGCTTACCGTCTCGGGTGGGATCTCCTCGGGGTGGTTGGACCCCCCTTTAGAACCTGCATTTTTCTTGCAAGCCATGATTTGGTTCAAGTAGGCTGTGTAAGCAGTCCGACGATTTTTGCAGGTCCTTTCTTGCAGTCCGACTTCCGTTTCTCCCTGAAAAGAAGATGGCTCAATAAACCTAGTCTTGGCCCGCAACTTCCTGTACACATCAGATAAAAGCGAGAACTGTGGGTTCTGGCTTTGACCAAGTGTGGCACTAGCAAGCTTTAAACCCGAAAAGCTCTACTTCTTGCTTGGCTGGGAACACTTGTGCAGTGTTCTGGCATCGATGATCAGAGCAGGTTCCAAACATTGTGTGGGCTTAAAGATGTGCCACAGCTCGATTTAGAAGCAGCAGACCGACCTAGCTCCGCCGGCAGCAATTGGTTCTCTGTTCGTTCTGTTCGTTGGAGCTCAGAGCTCCCCAAAAATTGTGTGAGTCACATTGATGCGTCCCATTCACGGCAACCTTTAGTAAAAGGCGAAAGATTGGTGCGCTATGAAGTGAACGCTGTGATGACCAGGCATGGAACTTTCGGCTTCTGCAGACAAGCTTCAGAGTGCTCAGCATACAGACATTTATGGATCGAGCCTCAGAGTTCCACCGTTTTCTCGACGTGTGCAAGCAGTTTCCAACAGTCAAAGTCAAAGCAGCCCGTTGCAACATGCATGGAGCTGCCAAAACCATCTGCATGCAGCAGGGTTTCGTCCAGAAACAGCAGCAACCTTGCTGCAGAACACCAGTCACCAGTTAGTGTGCAATGTTGTTGGGCCGAAGCCCACGTAAAAATTGCAAGAATGACCTTGACGATCAAACTTGACGGGAATTGGAGTAGTTTTCAACTAGCAAACAGCGCACCTCCGCTAAGCGTCACTGATAGCGCTATTGCCCCTTCCGCAAGGATGCCTGAGGCTGGATCCTCCGGGGAATCATTTTGTGGCTAGAACTAATCATTCCTGTTGTCAAAAAGCAAGCAGCAAGATTAAGAAAACCGGCAGCTAGAA